TGTCATATTTGTTTAATACTATATTCTAAAGTAGAGTTGCAGTTTCTTGCTTCTATCCATTTTTCTTCTTACTCAAAAGTTTTTATTATTTTTAGAGAGAAAGAAACATTGATTTGTTGTTCACTTATATGTGTTCATTGGCTGACTGCCGGACTGGAATTGAACCCACCACCTTGGCATATCAGGATGCTCTAACCAACTGAGCTACCTGGCCAGGGCTTACCAGCTCCAATACCCTTACATCTTCTTGTTTCCTGGAGAAGAGCCCCCCTAAACACTCCTGTGGTGCAGGTCTTGTGGTGGTAAAGTTCCTCAGCTTTTGTCTCAGAAGAAGCCTTATTGCGCCTTCAGATCTAAAGGCTAACTTCGTTGGATATATTCTTGGCTGGTGGTTTCTCTTTCAATATTTCAAATATTTCATTCCAGTCTCTCCTTGTTTGTAGGTTACAACCTTTTCCCCCCTGGAATTATGTTTTTGTCACTAACTTCTGACAGTTTTAATATAAGGTGTCCTGGAGGTCTTTCTGCATTGACATAATTAAGTGTTCTGTTAGCTTTTTTTTCCTGTATGATTCCATTTATTTTTTAAAATATATTTTATTGATTTCAGAGAGGAAGGGAGAGAAATAGAAACATCAACGATGAGAGAGAATCATTGATCAGCTGCCTCCTACTATGCCCCCGTCCCCTCCCCCCCACCCTCCCCCATCGAGCCTGCAACCCAGGCATAAGCCCTTGACCAGAATCGAACTTGCACCCTTTAGCCCAAAGGCTGATACTCTATCCACTGAGATAAGCCAGCTAGGGCTGTATGATTCCATTTATATGAAATTCCAGAAGAGGCAAAAGTAGCCTATAGTGTCCGGCCGACGTAGCTCAGTGGTTGGCGACCTAGGTGGTCACGGTTTGATTCTTGGTCATGGCATATGCCCGAGTTGCAGGCTCGATCCCCAGTAGGGGGCATGCAGGAGGTAGCTGATCAATGATTCACTCTCACCATTAATGTTTCTCTCCCACTTCCTCTCCCTCTCTGAAATCAACACAAATATAGTTTTTTAAAAAAGAGAAACCTATAGTGACAGAAAACAAGCCCCAGCTGTGGGGCCTGAGGGCTGGTGGGTGATTGACTGCAAAGGAGTGGGTGTGGGAGAGCATTTTGGAAGATGTTCTGTTTGTGTGTGTGTGTCTGTGGTCGTAATTACATGGGAATCTACATTTGTCTAAACTTGTACTCTGAAAATGGGTGCATTGTAACTGCATGCAAATTATACCTCAACTAAGTTGATTTTTTTTTTGGGGGGGAGGGGTTAAGAGGACATTTACTGGGTAAATTACAGAGGTAGAAAAAGTAATTCCTAGAAGAAAATGGGCTTAAGAAACAATTACAGAGGTAAAGGAAGGGCCGTGGAGCTTGGGAGTGAGGAAGCCAAAGGTGACCTGTGTGTGTGTGTGTGTGTGCGCGTGTGTGTGTGTGGTGGGGAGGGGTGGAGAGAGGCACTGGTGTGCTCCCAGGAGGGAGAGCAGTGGAGTGGATTTATAACAGGATAGAAAGGCAGCAAGGGCAGCATATTCACGTTCAAGATAACAGTTCTGAGATTTCTTCGCAAGGGTACTTGACTCCAAGTCCCAACAACCGGCCGCTGCAGTTGCTGCAGTGCCGTCCTCAGCTTCACGGTGTTTCCGATGGCCAAAAACGCGCTAAGCCGTCTCCCAGTTGGAAGCATTCAGCAAACAATGTCAGGGCAGATTCACCAGAAGAGGACACCTGATTTCCATGACAAAGATGGCAGTGCTATTTTAGCTAGTGGAGCCACATTTTGTGTTGCTACATGGACCTATACAGCAACACAAGTTGAAATAGAATGGAACCTGTCCCCTGTTGGCAGAGTCACCCCAAAGGGATGGAGAGATTAGTAATCATCCCAAAGTTGGTGTGATAATGAATTATTTCAAAACCAACTCATAATTGATGGCAAGTGAAAGCAATGTATGCCTATTAAAATATGGCATGAATGGAGAAATAAAATACATTTGAAACCTTAAAAAAAAAAAAAAAAAGATAACAGTTCTGTTCACTTCTGGAGTTTGAGGGCCCAGCCCTTAGTTAAATGGTTGAATAAGCCTGTTCTCTTCTGCAGTCTCTTTTCTAGTATACCGTTATCCTTGTCTCTAAGGAGGCAGGCGGAGTTCTTTGGTGGTTTTACACTCTGTTCTCTTCCACTCTGAGTCATTTCTAGATTTCCGTGTGGTTTGCCCTTTCCCATCTTTCTAATTCATTCTTCATCTCATTTATTGAGTTCTTCAGCTCCAGAATTTCTGTTTCTTTTTATAGTTTCAGTCTCTGAGAAAATACTTTTGTTTGTAGATTTTATTCCTTAACTCATTGAACTGCCTGAGTGTTTTCATAATTGCAATCTTGAATTCTCTGTCATTTAAATCAGTCTTCCATTGTCTTGGAGTTTATTTCTAAAGACGTTTCTTTCTGAGCTACCTTGTCATTGTGGTTATTCATGGTGCTTGATGGGTTGTTCTCTGCCCTGAACCCTTAGGTACCATTTGGCTCACAATTCTGCGGGTCAATAAATGTCTTTCTTTTGTTCTCCACTAGGTGGTGCTATATTGTAAGTTTTCGTTTCTCTTACCTGCTCTGCTGGCACCTGGGGCCCTCCTTGGGGCAGTGTTGCCTCAGTCTTGGAAAATGCCCTGTATTTCCCAAGGACTTTGGTGTCTGGTCCGTGTCTGGGTTCCCTCAGTCTCAGTACCATCCCTGTGCTGGGCTGTTGGGCTCTGGACCTGTGAGTCCCCAGTGCTGCCTCTTTGTAATCGGAGGCTGCCACCAATCGGTGTCTCCCTACCAGGTTCCACCGTGATGGGTGGTAAGGGTGGTTGGTGGGGGAGGCGGGTTCACAAGTCTGAAGTTCTGCCTTCTTGCTCATGGTGACCACAGTCTGCTGCAGTCGGGACACCTCTTGTTCTGTCTCATTCATTCGTGTTTTGTAGCTTTTGGCATATATGTAAGTCCTTTTGTGTTGTTATATTTACAATTAAGGGCTTTATTTTTAGAAGCAATTGTGAATGGTACTTTATCTTCACCAAGAATATGATTTATTGATTTTATTTTTTAATCCTCACCGGAGGACATACTTACAGGTTTTAGAGAAAGGGGAAGAGAAAAATACTGATTGGTTGCCTCCAGTATTTGCCCCGACTAGGAATGAAAACTGCAACCTAGGTATGTGCCTGCCTGGGAATGGAACTGTGGCCTGTGGTGTGTGGGGCAACAATCCAACGAGCATTTGTTTTTCATTGTGGTGATCACATGGTCATTGTTAATATGTAGAAATGGGTTTTTGCATGTTCACCTTATATCCTGAGATCTTGCCCAACTCTTATTCTAGGCGGTCTTGTGGGTTTCTTAGGATTTCCTACGCGGACCAGTGTGTGGTCTGCATGACAATGTAACATGTGGGTCCCACCCCGGGGACTCTGATTGCGTTGTCTGAATGTTAGGACTTTTAAAACTTTCCCTTGTGGGTCTAAGCAGCAGCCCAAGGCTGAGAACCACTGCTCTTTGAACTTGTCCATCCATGAGCGTGAGGGCCACGGCCCAGACTGCCCAGCGTGCTGCCTGCTGTGGCATGGTCAACGCTTGCGCCGGCTGCTGGGAAAGACGGAGCCCTGGGCCTGTTGGCCTTGCTGCTTCTCGCCCCGCACACACCAGCCGGAGCAGGTAACCAGCCAGTTTTAATGAACACACTGACGCGTATAAAAAGGTACTGTTGTCGGTCACGTAAGTGTCCCCATTCTCTGGGTGGGGAGTCGTCTTCTCCATGGACTAGAGTCCCTGCTTTTCCCACGGCCCAGCATCTGGTGGTGCTGGCTCTGTCCCCCGGGGCGGGCGCCGCCATGGGAAGGGACAGTGTGGGCTCTAGTCGGCTTTTTCACAATAAGACGAGCCTGGCTCTTGGCCCGAGAAGGCCACCAGCTTAGAAGTAACTGCTTGGCCCGGTGTCTGCCCAGGGACCGCACGTGTGGGAGGGAGGCGCCCTTCACTCGGCTTACAGCTCGGGTGAGGGCAGACTCCTCAAGGCTCCCTCCCGGCACTGAAGGCCCAGCCCTGCCGGAGCACGTCCACACCAGCACAGGGAAGTGCCGGGACAGTGGGAGGGGAGGTCCGTTTGGAGAGGGTGCAGTTGGGCCCACACGTGCACCAGCCGGCTCGGGGCAGGTGCTGCTCTGCTCCCTCCATGGCGGAGCCCCACACGGAGGTGGCAGAGGCGACAGCTGCAGGTACAGACGGAGCTCCGCTGGCATTAGCACCTGAGGCAAAGGAGGGTCACGGGCCACCGCCCCAAAGCTGAGTGGGCCACAGGCAACCCCGCACCCAGGCGCTTCACCGTTACCGGGGAGCACCCAGCGGACCGTCTCAGAGCGGCCGCAGGCCTGCCCGCAGTCCCTCCCCCCCCGGGGCGCGGGCTCTCCGAGCACTGGCTCAGCTCCTGGGTCAAGGGCTCCCGTGGCCACCAGGTTGGCTCTGGACTTCAGCGCTGGGGCCTCAGACCTGCTGAGCAGCCCCGTCCAGACCAACACAGAGGTCCTAGGCCCGAGCTGTCCGGAGCCGCTCAGACACCTGCCGACAGGAGCGGCGTCACTGAGAGACCGTCCAAGGCGCTGGCCGGCTGTGCAGTGGCCACCGGCAGGAGACGCCGTGGGAGGGAGGGGCACCAGCATCTCCTCGACCTCGAAGGAGGCTCCTGCCCCGGACGGCCTAGCACAGCCTGGGCTGGAGGCCGAGCTTCCTCAGCTTCCGGCCACCCCAGCACCCAGCTCCACCGCCTTGTCTGGGCCTCCTGGGTTCCGCTGCAGCCTCTCCTGCCCCATCTGCCTGCTGGCCGGCCCTGAGCCGACACGACCGCCTTCCCGGAGGCCTGAGGTCAGCGCGCGGACGCGGGAGGGAAGGAGAGGGTGGAATGGTGGCGGAGTGGCCCTGAGGGCTGCCGTCAGCACCGGCTGCGGGGATGCCCCTCGTAGGCCTGCAGAGCCTCCCGGATGGCCCGCTGCCAGTCTCGGGCCAGCTGCACGGGGGTCGCCGAAGCCTGGGAACAAGGTTGCCGGGTCAGTCCTTCCTCCTAGCGCCCGCCTGCCTTCCCGGGAGCGGGGCTGCGGCCCACCTGGTTCCGCACGCCCAGCCGGGCTCCGTAGACCAGCAGCATCTTCATGGCCCTGTGGTGGCCGTGCCGCACGGCCTCGTGGAGGGCCGTGTCCCCTTCCTGTCGGGAACGGGACATCGGTGCTCTCCCCTGCCTTTCCCTCCCCCACAGGCACGCATTTCCTAGACGCTAAGGGACCCCCTAGGTCTGCGACCGGGGGAGCAGCGGGCAGCAGCAGCTCCTACCTGATGCACCCTGACCTGTCCCCAGGCCCCCTGGCCTCTGGCTTCTATCGAAGCCGTCTCACCGTCCTCAGCTTTAACACTGGGCTCTGGCCTGTGAGCCCCAGGGCTGCCGTGGGGACGTCCTCCTGTCCCTGAGCTCAGGCCCGGCCTCTGTCCCCGCAGAGCCGCCCAAACAAGCAGCGCCTACCTTGTCCTGCGCGTCGATGTGGGCCCCGCACGCGATGAGGTGCTCCAGGCACTCGCAGTGCCCCGTGCGCACCGCCACGTGCAGGGGGGTGCTCCAGATCTGAGGGCGCGGGCGGCAGCGTCACTGAGTGGCAGGCTCACCCCAAACCCAGGGCTGCGCTTCCTCCAGGAACAGGCCGCCCACGGGGCATCCCTCACCTTGTCCCGCGCGTTGACCTGGGCGCCGTGGTTGAGCAGCTGCTTGAGGACGTCCAGGTGGCCTCCCCGGCAGGCCCAGAACACGGGCGTCCTGTCCAGCTGCAAAGAAAAGCGCTGAGTCCGTGCACTGCAGGCCGCGCAGCCCCTGCGGGAGGAGCCCTCCCCGTTCTCACCAAGTCCCGCGCGTCCACGGCGGCCCCGGCCTCCAGCAGCTTGTTCACCAGCCGGCCGTGGCCCTTCAGGCAGGCCCAGTGCAAGGCCCGGCGGTGGAGCTGGCGGTGGAGACGGAGGGTGAGCGGGGCAACGGGCACCTCTGGAGGTTCCACCCCTTCCCAGAGCTGGTGCCTGAACAGAGCTGCCTGCCCCTTAGGCATGCAGAGCCCTTCCCTCTGGGGTTGGTGTCCCACAAACAGAAAAGCCCTGTGGTTCCCGCCGAGCTGCTCTCCGGTCCCCCCTCCCTTTACCTTGTCGTGGGCATTGGGGTCCCCTCCGTCCGCCAGGTACTTGTCAATCAGGGCCTCCTGGTTCTCAGCGGCTGCCTTCAGGAATGTGTCCAGGCCCACGGGCTCGGCCTGGGCCTGGGCCTGGGGCTGGGTAAGTTAAGGACGAGAGCAAACCAATTGCACACTGTGGGCTGCAGGGACCTACACACACTGTTGGCTCATACAAATGAGTTTTAAAAACCGACCTCAGTAGATTCTGGCCAGATAGCCGGTGTGGTGGGGGGTTATGGGTTGACTTGTGCCCCCGCTCCCAGTTCGTACATTGGAAGCCCTGACCCCCAGAACCTCAGAATGTGACCTTGTCTGTAACCGGCATGGTAGCTGCCGTGCAGGTGAGGGACAGGGAGCAGGTGGGCCCTAAGCCAGGGTAACCGGTGTCACACCTCACAGAAGGGGCACTGGGAGCAGAGCCAGGCACGGGGAGAAGGCGTGTGGGCCTGAGGCGGAGGGCGGGCGATGTGGCCACAAGCAAGGGAACAGCCGGACGGCCGCAGCCCCAGGAGCCTGGGGAGCAGACCTGCCTCCCGACCCCAGACTCCAGCAGCCCCAGGCCCTGTGGATAGCCGGGGCTCTGCTCAGCTGTGCAGCTGGCAGCTGCTGCCTCTCAGGCGTGGCTGGCAGCGCCCCTTCCCCAAGCCCTCCCTCAGGTGAGGGCAGCTCTTGCTCAGAACTCAGCCTTGGGGGTGCGCCCCTTACTCCCCCATCTGACTGTCACCCACCTTAACCACGGGCTCAGGTGCCCTGCGGGGGACTCTGCGTTTCAATCGCTTTTCTCTTCGTCTCTGAACCAAGTTTTCCAAGTCAGCCAGGTTCTCCAGGTTAATTCTGGAACTCGTAAACCTCTCCAGCTGGGGCAGGAGACAAAACCATGCCACCCATCAGCCAGGGGCGGGCTGGGCAGCCTCTTGTTCTCGGCTGGCCTCCCGCCTGCGCAGACACAGCCGCCCCGCCCCGCTGCCTGCCGGCACTCCAGGCCCCCTGGCTGGGCCTGCCCCCCACCCGCCAGGCCACTCACTCTCCTCCTCTTCTCCTCTTCCAGTCTCTGCCTCTCCTGGGCCACGGCCTCATGGGGTCCCAGCCTCCAGTCTCCGGGCCAGCCTCCAGGATCAGGAATTCCATGTCCACATCCCAACACTTTCCTTCCTTCTCTTTCTCCACTCACCTGCGAGGACAGGGTGAGGACGAAGAAGACAATTAGGAGGGTCCTTAGAGAGCCAGCTATCCAGTGCGGGGTCCAACACGAGCTCACCCTTTTCAGAACTCTCCATGCAGGGCTGCTGCTGGCTCTCCACCTGCCCTGCCCTGCCCTGCCCTGTCAGCAAGGGCACAGGATGGGGCGTGACCCCGTCTATTTATATGCTGGCTTTGTCCAGGGGAGCTGAAGCACATGACACCTCAGCTTTCCCTGCATTCCTACCAGATCACGCCATACTGCCAGCCGACCTCAAGCTCGGGGCACAGGAGATGCCTGGGCAGCGGGGGGTGAGGGGTGAGGATGGGGGTGGGGGATGGGGTTGTCTTGGATTCCTGGGTTCCAGTCTTGGCTCCTCACAAAGCTGTTTCTTCATCAGTAAAAGGGTGTGGAACTAGCACTCAGCTCAGCTGGGCTGGGACAGAGCCCCACACTGCTCCGCCTGCCCCTGCCTGGCCCGCACCAAGGAGTGAGCGTGTAGAGGCGAGAGGCTGGGTGGCCGGGCCTGGGGCTTCAGCCACAGGGAACTGTATTCCCTTTCAAAGCAAACGCTGGCCACCCGACACGGCTGGGGCCCGTGGGCACTGTGGCACCAAAACATCCCAAAGTGCCACTGGTGCTGCCGTTTCTCTCAGCCCAGCGCCCTCCTCCCTCCCTCCCAGCCAAGGCAGCTGGCCCCCGGCCCATTTCCAGAGCAATGGATGTCCGGCATTGAGCTAAACTGCCGTTTCCTGTTCCTCTTTAGCCATCGCCATCCTGTCCAGGGCAAGACTCACTCTTCCAGGATTTTCACGTCACTCTTTCCCTCTCTTGCTCCCTAACCCCCTCCCTCGCCACCCACAGGAGAACCAGCACACAGACCAGGGAGCTGCTGTCTGGGCTCTGAAAACCCCATCCTCAGACACAGAAGCAGCTGCTGCCCCTCATTCTGCTGAGAAGGCCTGGGGGTACCCGGATGACTGGCTGCCCTCCTGGCCCTCTTCCCACGTCCTTACCAACTGCTGCACGCTGATGCCCTCCATGGTCCCCCGCGCTCCGCGCCCCAGTGAGAGGAGCTGAGCTGCCAGCTCTTTTATAGGTGAGCCGTCCCTGGGGGCAGGCAGGGCGGGGCAGTGGCTGGCACCCAAGCCAGATGACTCTGTGGCTCTGTAATGCCCACCAAAATACCAGGTGGGCCTGTTGCCGGACAGGCAGAAGGAGGAGCTGCTCTGAGCTGAGTCAGGGGCATCCTCAGACACCTACTGCCCCGCACCTATGCCATCCCCCATGCCTACTCCGGAGCGGTTCCACCGGACACGTGTCCGAGGGTGCCTGGCCACTGGCCCGGATTCAGGGGGAAACAGCTCCCACTTTCCTAGGTCCAGACGCCACTTATGAAACAGAGTCAAGTGTGAGCCTCCACACTGTGGGCCCAGCCCTACAGCCCATGGGAAAGGAGGCCTGAGCCTGGAGAGCCTGGGAACCCTCACGGCAAGGAGTCAGGCGGCAAGGGGTCTCCCAGTGCCAAGGCTGCCCCCACTCTGGGTGCCGCCCTTCCTTCCTTCTCCCTCACCGTCGGGGCCTCGCCCAGCCTGTTGCCAGCACCTCAGCCCTGGGAGGCCAGGCCCCACCAGCAGGTCCCTACCAGCCGCCCTCCTGGAGCAGGACATGTCTCTCCAGAGGAGAGGCCAGACTGACATGGCTGCAGGTCCAAGTACGTAACATTCACCGCTAATCCAGTCGCAAAGCAACCTGTCACCAGCCTCAAAATCAAAGTCCTAACAGGCCCTAATGCCAGCCTGCCCTTCAACCAGCCGAGCAAAACGCTCTGTCTTGACCTTTGAGAGGAAACCCGATAGCCAGTAAATAAGACTCCAGAGGGGGAGTAACATGAGCAGAGATGACCAACGAGAGGGAGGGGGATTTCGGGTCAAGGATACCCCAGGCCCTGAAGAGCTGCCAAGGTCCTACCCAGGGCTGACCGGCTAATTTGTAAGTTCTTGCCAGTTCTGAGACCAGATTTTTTTTAAAAGTTACTTTTTCTAAGTATGTTTTTATTGACTTTTTAGAAAGGGGGAGGGATAGAGAGGAACACTGATGAGAGAAATATCATTGATCAGCTGCCTCCTGCATGCCCCCACAGGGGATCGAGCCCACAACCTGGGCATGTACCCTGACCGGGAATCGAACCCTGACCTCTTGGTTCAACCACTGAGCAACACTGGCTGGGCTGAGACCAGATTTGTTTTTTTAAGAAAATCTGTATGTGTCAGGGTGTTCTGTCAAAGGTGCTTTCTTGTCTTTCCTTATGAGGAGGGAAAGGGTTACCTAGACCTGAGTGAGGGTGGACAGACAAGGAAAAGTTATAAACTCTCGGCTCCACTGCCAGCCACCTACTCACTCCACTCCCTCAGTGTTCCTGGCGGGTTTCACCTGCAACTCAGCAGAAAACTAGTCTCTTCCACATGAAACTAACTGGCCGATTAAAAAAAATTACTCCTTGTAAAAAAATCCTTATGTAACAAATAAAGCTCCACAAGGGCCCCTTCCTACCCACAGTGGCCCTGGGAACCTGGTCAGTTTGCTATACTTCCTCTGACTTCGTTCCTGCCATTTTGTGTATGTACATACGTGTTTCTACAGACATGTTTTAAGAGGCACATGCTGTGATCACAACTCAGCACGCTTCCCACATTAGCATACACCATTCCACTGCACTGCCCTCAGATGGCATGTGGACTCTTCCTATCGGGGAGCATCCTGGCTATCTTTTTTTATTTCTTTAATATTACACCCCACACTCAAATGTGTATCTTTGTGCATACCTCCATAAATAGGCATCTTTGTAGATATGAATATTCTTCTATGTAGCTACAGAGAAACCAAATTATTGGCTCATTTAACAACAAATTTTTAAAATGTTTTTCTTGATTTCAGAGGACAGGAGAGGGAGAGAGAGAAACATCAATGATGAGAGAATCATTGATCAATCACCTCCTGCATGCCCCTACTGACCAGGAATCAAACCCTAACCTTCTGTTTCATGGTTCAATGCTCAACCACTGAGCCACACTGGCCAGGCTGTTCATTTAAATTTTAATAGACACTGCCAAGTCACCATCTATAGTGGCTGCACCAATTCATGAACAGATGCCAATGACAAATAACAATATGAAAGGATACAAAACATACTTCAAAACTTCTAATCCAGAAGCCATAAACAACTCCTATCCTTTATAATAAAAGGCTAATAAGAAAAAGGTAAAGATAAAAATTATGAATAACAAATACATATCTATCAACAAGTGAACCTAAAAGTCAAGTGAATTAAAAATCTGAGGAACAGAATAAACTGGTGAATATAATAGAATCAGGGGCATAGAATGGGAATGGACTGATAATTCTCAGGGGGAATGGGGTGTGGGGGTGCGGGAAGAGACTGGACAAAAATCATACACTTATGGATGAGGACAGTGGGGGGGGGGTAAGGGCAGAGGGTGGAGTGGGAACTGGTGGAAGGGAGCTATGGGGGGAGGGAGGGAAGGAGAAACAATTGTAATCTGAACATTAAAGATTTATTAAATTTTTTAAAAGAATGCAAAATAACAGCAACAGCACCTTTTAAAAAAATAAATCTTTATTGTTCAGATTAGTACAAATGTTCCTCATTAACCCCCCTCTCCATTGCTCCCCTCCACCAGGTGCCCACCCCACCCTTTCCCCACCCCCCACTGTCCTCATCCATAGGTGCACAGTTTATGTTCAGTCTCTTCCTGCACCCCCACTCCCCTTTCCCCCGAGAATTGTCAGTTCGCTCCCCTTCCGTACCTCTGATTCTATTATATTCACCAGTTAATATTGTTCATCAGATTTTTTAATTCCCTTGGTTTTTAGATTCACTTGATAGTTGCATATTTGTTGTTCATAATTTTTATCTTTATTCTCTTCTCTTCCTAAAGAATCCCCTTCAGCAATTCATATAATTCTGGTTTGGCAGTGATGAACTCCTTTATTTATTTATTTATTTATTTATTTATTTATTTATTTATTTATTATTTGTGAAGCTCTTTATCTGGCCTTCAATTCTGAGTGATAGCTTTGCTTGGTAGAGTATTTTTGGCTATAGGTTCTTGCTATTCATCACCTTGAATATTTCTTGCCATTCCTGCCTGGCCTGCATGATTTCTGTTGAGAAATCAGTTAACAATCATATGGGTGCTCCTTTATAGGTAACTATCTGCTTTTTTCTTGCTGCTTTTAATATTCTTTGTCTTTTGCTCTTAGAATTTTAATTATGATGTGTCTTGGTGTGGACCTCTTTGGATTCCTTTTGTTTGGAGTTCTGCGGGCTTCTTGGACTTAAATCTATTTCTTTCACCAGGTGGGGGAAGTTTTCTATCACTATTTCTTCCAGTATGTTTTCGGTATCTTGCTCTCTCTCTTCTTCTGGGACCCCCGTAATTCTGATGTTGGTTCGCTTGAAGTTGTCCCAGAGGTTTCTTGCATTATCTTCAACTTTCTGGATTCTCTTGTCTTCTTGCTTCTGCAGAGGTGTGTCCTCTGGCTCTTTGTGTTCCAAATCTTTGACTTGATTCTTGCGATCTTCCTTTCTGTTTTTAGGACTCTCTATAATATTTTTTATTTCAGACAATGTATTCTTTATTTCTAGTTGATCCCTTATCATATCCTCATAGGTCTCATTTATTTTATTGGCCTTTTCTAGGAAATTCTTGAAAAACCTTATAACCGTGATTTTGAATTCTATATCAAGTCGCTTTTTGTCCTCCATTTCTTTCTTTTGTGATCTGTTTCCTTGTGTTGGCATTTTCGCTGCTTCCCTGAGTTGGTAGGTGACTTTGTGTGCTAAGGTGTCCTATATGGTTCAGTGGGTCAGTCTCCCAGTTACCTGAGGTGAATACTCTTGGTGCCCCCTTTTGTGGACTGTGTGTACAGTTTTGATTGTTGTTGGTGTCACTGGGAGGAACTGACTTTCAGGCCAATTGGCTGTGAGGATCAGCTGTGTCTATGCCAGGAGATAGTCTTATTCCACTAGACTTGGAAAATTGCAAAAGCCTCTGTGCTCAGCTTGGATGGGGCGAGTTTCAGGATGGAGCCTACAGCCTTGGCTTCCCTCAGCCCCGCCCTATGAGGTTCCTGAGTCTCAGTGTTCCTCAGGGTCCTTCTGTACTTGCTGCAAACACTCTGAGAGAAAGGTGCCCTCGAGTTTCGCCTGCTACGAAACAGTCTAGGCTCTCCCACAATGAGCCCAGAACTGGGGTTCAGTGCAGTTGGAAGAGGGGTTGGAAGTGGGGTTCAGAGCAGTCTGGAGCTTTTGTCTCCTTCCCGCTAGGGCAATCCAGTGGCACAGTCAGCAGTCCATCTTCTGTGCGCAATGTGCGTGCCTCTAGGACTTCCTTTCGCCACTCCCCTGAGTTTCCGCCTTACAGCCCAGATTCCCTCCGTATGAGCCTGGGACCCCAGAGTCTGGTCTAGACCTGGGGTTCAGTGCAGTTGGAACTGGGGCTCAGCGCAGTCCGGAACTTTTGTTTCCTTCTCACTAGGGTAATCTGGCAGCAGAGTCAACAGTCCGTCTTCTGTGCGCAATGTGAGTGCCTCTGGGACTGCCTTTTGCTGCTCCCGAGTTTCCGCCTTACAGCCCAGACTCCCTCTGTATGAGCCTTGGTCCCCAGGGTCTTGCCCAGAACTGGGGTTCAGTGCTGTTGGAACTGGGGTTCAGCACAGTCTGGGGCTTTTATCCCTTTCCCGCTAAGGAATGCCAGCCAGGCACTCCGCCTCCCCCTCCTCTCCGGCTCCGTCCTCTCCCTGCGCACACCGTGTCTCTGTACCTTAGGCTTTTACAGCTCCTCTGATTTTCCTTATGGTTTTCTCTTTCCTTCTAGTTGTAGAATTTCCAGTCAGTCAACTTTCCTGTAGTTTTGGATAATGTCCATTTTGTATTTTAGTTGTATTTTTTTTTGAAATTGTTGTGTGGGGCTGCAGTTAGGCGTTTACCTATGCCGCCATCTTGGTTTCTCCAAAGTCCCAACAGCACTTTTAAATGTATCAGATTATTAAAATGCATGAAACTATGGTATAAAAACACAATCAGGTTTTGAGGGTGTGCTCTAATACACTGCTTGCAACATGCCAGGCTCTCTCCAGTGCTCCCCATAACTCAAATACCTAATCTCCAGTGCCTCTGAACCCCAGTTCTAGACCAGACTCTGGGGTCCCAGGCTCATACGGAGGGAGTCTGGGCTGTAAGGTCCTATTAAAACCATCATCTCACAGATGAGGAAAGTGTCATTTACCACGATACCTCAGCTAGCAAGAAGCTTGTTACATATTCTGTAGTTTCTCCTAACACTTACTGCTAAGTTCTGTGGTTTTCAATTTAGGTCTTTTTATTTAAGTTTTTTGTTGTTATTTATTGATTTTAGGAAGAGAGGAAGAGAGAAAAAAAGAAACATTTATTTGTTGTTCCACTTATTTATGTGTTCATTGATTGATTCTTAAATGTGCCCTGATGAAGAATTAAACCCACAACCTAGGAGTATCTAACCAACTGAGCTACCTCACCAGGTACAATTTAGGTCTTTAATTTACTTGAAATTTAACCAGGGCATGGGTGAGGTAAGGATATAAGTTTATTTTTTCCAAACAGATAGATGTTTCCACATGAACTCATGTAGAAGAGGGTCATCTGTCCAGGCTTAAGCACTTGCAGTCCCCCAAATCCACTCCGTCACTCCAGGGGCCAGACTCTTCCTGGGTCTTCGGGCCTCACTTCCCCATCTGCAGCAGGGATGCTGATCAGAGCTGGGCCGTGGAGACGAGTCTATGTTCCCTTGCGTGGCAGCCTGAGACAGAGGGTGGTGATTCAACTGGCCAGCAGGTCCCGCAGGTCACTGTTGCGGGGCAGCAGGTCACATGCTAGTCGTGCCTTCCGATCCCGGACAGCCTTCAGGGCTGGGCTGTGTTGCAACAGAAGGGAGCAGATATCCACGTGACCCTTCTCAGCAGCCTGTGGAGAGAACGGCCTGAATCAAAAGTCACACCTCACCAGGCCCTGCTCTTGCACTACTTCAGGGGATCTCTTGGTCCTTGTGGAAATGGAGACACTGGCTGTTTGGGTAGACTTCACTTAACTCCTACCCACTGCCATGACTGGCACGCAGATGGGCAGAGTACTCTAGGGCCCTCCTGGCAGTTAGCTTTAATTTTTGGTTCTTGTGGTCTTTGGCTCAGTGGCCATTCTTCCTTGTCCAGGCTGCACAATGAGGACAAGTACAGAACTGGGTCTCTGTGTATTTGACAAATACACGTTCTGATCATCTATGGGGAGCTGGGCACCATGAGCGCGAGAGACATCAGACATGGCCTCTGACCTCTTGGAACTTTCAGATGAGCAGAGAAAAATGGGCTCAGGTCACCAGCTTTCTCCTCTCCTCTTCTGAGGCAGATTATCCCAATCTGGATGTCAATTTCTAATTTATTTCCAAAAAATAGCAATTAAGTGATTTACATAAATTATCTTATTTAACTTTCATAGTAACTATCAGAAGTAGGTACTATCATTATTCCCATTTTATAAATGAAGAAACTGAGGCTTATCAAAGTAAAGTGACTTACCTAAGGTCACAAAGCTAATACAGCAACCTGGGGATCCTAAAGCAGGTCTGTCTGATCTCAAAGTCTGGACTCTTACAACTGTTATACTACTATGCTCCCTTCTTCTCCCAATAGACAAACTGATGGAATACAGAGCTTTTGAGAGGTATCAAAATTAATATTAGTATCAACCATCATCTCAAGTTTGAACCCAAATCTTTTTTTGATGATAGACACAGGTTCTTAATTCTGTTGCCTCATTTCAGGCAATGCTATGTTGTGAACAACTGTGAGAAGTATTTCAAGTAATTTTTTTTTTTTACCAGAAAAAAAGTACCGATGTTTGCAAGTAGTTTATTAAAAAAGAAAAGAAAGAAATTGAAGTCCAAGATGGCGGTGGTGAACTCAGCCCTCCATGAGCACACTGAAATATATGCCCATAGAGAGAGCCATTCCTTCAAAGAGACCCTGGGAGGACTGAGCTGCTTCTGCAGAACAAATGCCAGAGAGGAGCGGTACAGGGAAGCTGGCGGACCGTGGGAGCCATCCAAGACGGTGGGAATTCTCTGGGCGCCAGTGAACACCTTCTCATATTTCCCTCCACCTCCATAGGGCAGGGAGCAGCTCTATCCAGGTACTCTGACCTCCAGCCATCCCACCCAGAGCCCATTTCCCTCTGAACAAAGGAGAAAACAGCATCCTTAAGGCATTACCACACACAGCTGGCTCCAATGGCCTGCCAAACGACCCAGCACACAAAGCCACAAGGCCACTCTTTCTTTTTTATTTTTCTTTTTATTGATTTCAGAGAGGGAGAGAGAGAGAAAGAGACATCAATGATGAGAGGGAATCATTGATTGGCTGCCTCCAGCATCCTCCATGCCCGCACTGGGGATCGAACCCACAACCCTGGGCATGTGTCCTTAGATCAGAATATAACCTGTGACCTTTCAGTCCACAGCCCGATGCTCTTTCCACTGAGCTAAACAAGCTAGGGCAACACAAGGCCACTTTTTCAAGACTGGAAAATATAGCTATTTTGTCTAATTATATAAACTAGAATGTCAAACAAAATGAGTAAATGAAGGAATATCTCTCAAGGGAAGGAACAAGAAATATCCCCAGAAAAGAATCCTAATGAAACAAAGATAAGTAATTTATCCAAAAAAGAATTCAAAGAAATGGTCATAAGGATACTCACCAAACTTCAGAGTAAAAAGGGACTTAGAGAGAACTTCACCAAAGAGTTAGAAAGTATAATAAAGCACTAAGCAGACCTAAAAAATATGAGTGAAGTGAAAAATACAGAAGGAATCAGCATCAGATTAGCTAAAACAGAAGAATGGATTGGCAACCTGGAAGCCAGACTAGTGGAAACCAATCAATCAGAACAGCAAAAAGTTTTTTAAAAAATTTTAAATGAGGATAGTTTAAGGGGCCTCTGGGAAAACACCAAGCAAACAAAGATTATAGGGATCCCAGAAGGAGAGAGAGAGAAAGGAACAAACTTTCCTGAGAGAGGAAACATATCCAGGTTCAGGAAGCACAAAGAGTTTCAAACAAGATGAATCCAAAGAGACCTACACCAAGACATATTGCAATTAAAAAGGCGAAAGTTGGAAGAACCAAGATGGCGGCATAGGGCAGACGCCCGAATGCAGCCTACCACAACAAGTTTGAATTTAGAACTGAAAAACAGGGGAAACATCACGCTGAAGCGCCGGACGGCTGGCTGAGGGGGAGCTCTACCATCTGGGAAGGAGAGAGAAGGCGCGCTGAACCTCAGGAACTGTGAAGGTACGAAAAACTGTGCGTGCGAAAAAGGGGCTGCAGAGTTCGCTGCTGGCTTGCCTGCGGAGCGCGGAGAGGGCGGGCCGAGTTTGCTACCAGTTTACTCCCTGCACAGAGAGGGCGGACAGCTAATGTGCGGCTGGCTTTCTTGTGCGGGAGGAAAACAGAACCACCCTATTGCCCTGATAGACACAGGGAGAGGCCAGACTGTCGGGCAGTGGGCTGGGATCTCTCGGAGGTGTGTGAAACCAGCGGCCATTACTGCGGGACTCAGAAACCAGACCCTCGTAGGGAGGGGCTGAACAGCTTGTCTGCAGCACCCGAGACTCCGCCCCATCCAAGCGGAGCACAGAGGCCCTTCCAGGGGCTAGCTTCCTCGTTTGCTGCCAATAGGATTCTCCGAGGGAGGGGCAGACAGGAATCTAAAGCTTGTCTGCGCCTATACCAAAGAGGTGCACGCGCCTGCAACCAATTGTGCGGGACTCAACAAAGCTTGGCTGTGCCACCCCGAGACTCCGCCCATCCAAGCAGAATATAGAAACCCTCCTCGCTGAGACACTTCTGATCCTCATAGCCAATTGGCTTGAAGATCAACGCTTCCCAGTGATACCAACAACAAGCAAGGCTTAACAACAAGACTGCACACACAGCCCACAAAGGGCTACACCAAGACTGTCCACCTCAGGTACTGGGAGGCTGACTCACTGAACTATATAGGACACCTTAGCACACAAAGCCATCCTACCAACTCAGGGAAGCTGTGAAAATGCTAAGACAAGGAAACAGATCACAAACAAAAGAAATGGAGGAAAAGAAGAGACTGGATATAGAGTTCAAAACCACGCTTATAAGATTTTTCAAGAATTTCCTAGAAAAGGTCGATAAGACCTATGAGGAAATGAAAAGGGATCAACAAGAACTAATAAGGGATCAATAAGAACTAATAAGGGATCAACAAGAAATAAAGAATACATTGTCTGAAATAAAAAGTATTATACAGAGTCCTAAAAACAAAATGGAAGATTCTTGATCACAAGAATCAAGTCAAAGATTTGGAACATAAACAGCCAGAAGACACTCCTCCGCAGAAGCAAGAAGACAAGAGAATCCAGAAAGTTGAAGATAATGTAAGAAACCTCTGGAACAATTTCAAGCGAACCAACATCAGAATTATGGGGGTCCCAGAAGATGAGAGAGAGCAAGATATCGAAAACATACTGAAAGAAATAGTGACAGAAAACTTCTCCCACCTGGTGAAAGAATTAGACTTACTAGTTCAGGAAGCACACAGAACTCCAAACAAAAGGAATCCAAAGAGGACCACACCAAGACACATCATAATTTAAATTCCAAGAGCAAAAGACAGAGAGAATCTTAAAAGCAGCAAGAGCAAAGCAGGTAGTTACCTATAAAGGAGCACCTATACGATTGTCAGCTGACTTCTCAACAGAAACCATGCCAGCCAGACAGGAATGGAAAGAAATATTCAAGGTGACGAACAGCAAGGACCTACAGCCAAAAATAATCTACCCAGCAAAGCTATCACTCAGAATCGAAGGCCAGATAAAGAGCTTCACTAATAAAAAAAAAGCTAAAGGAGTTCATCACCACCAAACCAGAATTATATGAATTGCTGAAGGGGGTTCTTTCAGAAGAGAAAGTAAATAAAGATAAAAACTATGAACAACAAATACGTGACTACCAACAAGTGAATCTAAAAACCAAGGAAATAAAAAAAAAAAAATCTGATGAACAATATTAACTGGTGAATATAATAGAATCAGAGGTATGGAAGGGGAGTGGACTGACGTTTCTCGGGGAAAAGGGGAGAGGGGGATGTGGGAAGAGACTGAACATAAACTGTGCACCTATGGATGAGGACAATGGGGAGTGGGGAAAGGGCAGAGGGTAGGGTGGAGCAACGGGGGGTGGGGAGAATGAGGAACCTGGTGGAGGGGAGCAATGGGGGGGGGAGAATGAGGAACATTTGTAATAATATGAACAATAAAGATTTATTTAAAAAATAAATAAATAACAAAAAATAAAAAGGCAAAAGTTAAAGATAAGGAGGCCATCTTAAGTAGGTTGCATACAAGGGAAAGCATATAAGGCTATCTGTAGATTTCTCAGCAGAAACTATACAGGCCGGAAGGGAGCAGTAGGACATATTTAAAGTGCTAAGAGAAAAGAACTTCCAACCTAGAATACTTTACTGGGCAAGATTATTATTCTGAATTGAAGAAGAGATAAAGAATTTTCTGGACAAGCAAACACTTAAGGAGTACATCATCACTAAATCAGCTTTACAATAAATGTTAAAGGGTATTCTTTAAGCAGAAAAGAAGAGGTGATAACCAGACACTAGGAAATATGAGAAAGGAAAATAACTTACAGGTAAAGGCAAATATTTAATAAACACAGCAAATTAGCCATTTAAAAAGCCACTATGATAGATAAAAGTACCAGACTCAATAAAAAACTACAAGTTGTTAGGAGACATACAAAACAAAGATTTATTAACAACAAAAAAAGAAAACAAACAAAAAATATCTTAAGTATGACTTCAAAAGCCCTAGTTGGTTTGGCTCAGTGGACAGAGTGTCAGCCTGCAGACTGAAGGGTCCCAGGTTCGATTCTGGTCAAGGGCATATGCCTGGGTTGCAGGTTCGATCCCCAGAAAGGGGCGTGCAGGAGGCAGCTGATCAATGATTCTCTCTCATCATGGATGTTTCTATCTCTGTCTCTCTCTCCCTTCCTCTTTAAAAATTATTTAATTAAAAATAAATAGATAAATAAAGTATGACCTCAAAACATAAAGACTAGAGGGAGGGGGAGCAAAAATGTAGTCCTTTTAGAATATGAGAACTTACATGCCTACCAGCTTAAAATAAACAGCTATAAATACAGAATGATACACATAAACAGCTAACATCACACTCAATGATGAAAAGCTGAAAGCTTTTTCTTTAAGATCTGGAACAAGAATGTCCACTTGCACCACTTATATTCAACACAATATTGGAAGTTCTAGTCAAAGCAATCAGACAAGAAGAAGAAATGAAAAGCATCCAAATTGTAGAGGAAAAAGTAAAACTATCATTATTAGTAGATGATATTATATATGGAGAACCCTAAGGATTCCACCAAAAAACTATTATTAGAACTAAATTCAGTAAAATAGCAAAATACAAAATTAATATTTAAAAATCAGTAGCATTTTTATACACCAATATATTCACTCTGGAGAAAAATCAAGTGGGGATAAGACAGAAATAAATTTACACATATCCAATAAACCACTTCTCGAAGATGCATAAGATAAAGAAAACAATTGCTTCAAAAAACATAACATATATAGGAATAAATTTAACCAATAAGGTAAAAGACTTAAACTTGGAAAACTACAAGACACTGAAGAAAGAAATTGAAGAAGATACAAATAAATGGAAGCATACACCATGTTCATGGATAGGAAGCATTAATATTAAAATGTGCTAAATAAATAATATGTATACCACCCTGCAATCTACAGTTTCAATGCAATCCCTTATAATATCAATAGCATTTTTCATAGACCTAGAATATATAATCCTAAAATATATATGGAACCACAAAAGACCCGAATAGCCACAGCAATCTTGAGGAAGAACTTTATTTCTGTAAACATAACATGTCAAGGCTGCTGAGCCCATGCAAGCACCTGTCAGGTCCCTCTCCTAGAGTCCAGCAGCTTGCTGTGAATTCGTCAACCCTGAGGTCTCTGTTACTAGCGGGGGCAACAAAGTTGGAACACTGATTCCCAGAGGCTTTCTCCTGGAAGAAATGATCAGTATTTCTTGTCTTCTATGCATGAGGGGATGGAATCTAGTCTGTAATTAGAGATCCCCTTTTGAGGGACATGTCTCTAATATGAAACAGTTCAATCATTATTGTACACCTCAAACTAATACAACATTGTATATCAACTAAAATTAAAACTAACTTTTTGCCATACCTGGTTTGACTCAGTGGATAGAATGGCTCAGTGGATAGAACGTCGGTCCGAGGACTAAAAGATTCTGGGTTCGATTCCAATCAAGGGCACGTACTTCAGTTGCAGGCTCGATCCCGGCCCTGGTCGGGAGCATGCATAAGAGGCAACCAATCGATGTCTCTCTCTCAGGTCAGTATTTCTCTCTCTCTGTCTCTCCCTAAATTAATGAAAAATTATCCTTGGGTGAGGATTAACAGAAATAAAGCAAGCAAGTCGAGACTGGTTTGGCTCAATGGATAGAGCGTCGGCTTGGGGACTGAAGGGTCCCGGGTTCGATTCTGGTCAAGGGCATGTACCTTGCTTGCGGGCATATCCCCAATGGGGGGTGTGCAAGAAGCAGCTGATCGATGACTCTCTCTCATCGATGTTTCTAACTCTCTATCTCCCTTCCTCTCTGTACAAAATCAATAAAATATATTAAAAAAAAAAAAGAAAAAAAGAAATAAAGCAAGCAAGCAAGCAAGCAAGCAAACAAACAAAATAAACAAACCATTTTTTTAAAAAAAGTGAGCACAGCCCAGCTGGAGTGGCTCAGCTGGTTGACTGTTGTCCTGTGCAATTCGATTCCTGGTCAGGACACATACGTGGGTTGGGGTTTCGATTCCTGGTTGGGGCACACAGGGACAGCAGCTAATCAATGTTTCTCTCCCTCCCCCTCTCTCTCCTTCTTCATTCTTTCTCTCGGGTAGGAATTAAAAAAAAAGAAAAAGCGAGCACAGGTTTTTAGTGAATAGTAAAAAATGTCAGTCACAGGTTCTGTTGTTAATGTAATGCAGACAAATACTTAAATTTTTCTTTTTTAAAAAACGTTTTTATTGATAATTGGAGAGAGGGACTGAGAGGTAGAAACTCCGAGAGAGAAACATCATCAACTGCCTCCTGAACATCCCCCTATGGGGGTCACGCCTGCGGCCCAGGCATGTGTCCTGATGGGATTGAACTGGGGACCTCTTGGTTCCTTGGGTCGATGCTCAACCACTGAGGCACACTGACTGAGCTTAAATTTTTCTATCTTAATATTCACAGCCAGAAATGTGTTTCACAAACTACAATTCAAAAATATTATTTATTGTGCTCCTGCTTGTATAAATAAATAAGTAAAAAAGAAAGAAAGAAAAGATGCACTGGAGAGGCAGGCAGGGGCTAGCCTCAAGCCTGGTAAACTATATTCAGGGCTTTAAAAGCTCGGGAAGAGTATAAGTTTGGCATAATCCAAACTGCTTTTTAAAACTATCACTCTGGAGGAAAATCAAGTGGGGATAAGACAGAAATAAATTTACACATATCCAATAAACCACTTCTTGAAGATGCATAAGAAATGGGTACAAATGTATGTCTTAGGGAGGGACCCAGAAGAGGCACTGGGGGCCAGGGGTTGAAGGGAAACTCGTTTTCACAGCCTACCATCTTGTACTCCTCAAACTGCCTACCACGTGCAGTTATTTCTAGTTGGAAGTGTATAGGGACAGGTGGGTATAGGTGCAAGTTTCAGGAAAAAATTATGTAGAAAAGCATTCATGACATATCACTAAAGGAAAGAAAAACTAAATGATACTACATTTAATTCTAATTTACATTCACCGGAAAAGTGCTGGAAAATTACACATTAATCCTAAAGTGATGAGACGAGAGCACCGCTTTTTATTTTCTGCTTCATGCTTTCCCGTCTTCCCCAGGTTTCCTACGGTGAACATGTTCTACACCGTTTATAATGTTGAAGGGCCTGAGGGCCATACCTTATGCAGACTGGTCATGCCATCATCATCCACCAGCCTGGGATTGGACCCGTGGGAGAGCAGAAGCCGTGCAATCTCCGTGTGCCCACAGTAGCTGGCCCGGTGCAGAGCGGTGGCCCCCCCGCGTGTCTGGGCGTCGCACTTGGCCCCACTTTCCAGCAGGAACTGGCAGACTGCGTAGTGTCCGTTGCGGCTGGCGTAGTGCTGCAGGGGACAGAGACGAGGTGGGACAGCAGAACCGGGCGGGCGACAGGGGAAGGGCAGGGGAGGGGAAAGCATGGGTCCCTGAGCAGAGGCCTGGCTCCATCAGCTGTGTGACTTTGGTAACTGGCTTCCTCAGTCATTTCTACCTCACAGGATTGTTATGAAAATGAAAGTAAATAACTAAATAAAAAAATCCAGGTTCACATGACCCTTAAAGAGAAACGCTGCTGGGAGAGAAGAATGGGAGGAAGGAGGACGCCAAGTTCCTCCCAGCTCACCAGAGCGGTGTAGCCGGCCAGGTCCGGCTGACTGGGGTCCACTGCCTTCTGGATTAAATCCTTCACTCGGCCCAGGTCTCCGTTCAGGGCTGCTGACCAGATTCCTGAGGAAAGACAGCCAAAGTGCCAAAGCACTGCATGATGCTGACCGAGGACATTTAGTATTTCCTTCACCCATGACCCCGTTTTTTCCCATCCATAAGATTGGTAAGAAATGGGCATTGGATTAATACCCATTCAACAAACATTAACCAAGCACCTCCTCTGTGCCAAGGATTGTCCTAGGTGCTGGGGACACAGTAGTAAGCCAGACTATGAGCTTGCCTGACCAGAGCAGGGGGGGTTGGACACAGAAATCCCTTCTCCCCACTTTAAATACTGAGTAATGTTTAACATGGTTGAATGCACAAATTCAAAAGCAAGACAAGAACCTTGCTGAGACCGGTTTGGCTCAGTGGATAGAGCGTTGGTCTGTAGACTGAAAGGTCCCAGGTTTGATTCCGGTCAAGGGCATGTACCTTGGTTGCGGGCACATCCCCAGGAGGTGTGCAAGAGGCAGCTAACCGATGATTCTCTCTCATCGTTGTTTCTCTCTATCCCTCTCTTCCTCTCTGTAAAAAATCAATAAATTAAAAAAAAAAAAAAGCCCAAACCCCCAAGCTAAGAATGTGGCATAAAAACTGGTCCAGACAAGTATCCTATAAGGACCTGTCAGAGGCAACTTTTTAAAATGACCCTTAAGGTCCAGCCAGCGTAGCACAGTAATTGAGCATCAACCTATGAACCAGTTGATGGTTTGATTCCTGGTCAGAGTATATGCCCAGGTTGCAGGGTCCATCCCTGGGGAGGGGGTGGGTGGGCGGGATGCAGGGGGCAGCTGATCAAGGATGCTCTTTCATCACTGATGTTTCTTTTTCTTTTTTCTTTTTTGGTGTTGTGACTTGGATACAAACCGAATCACTGATGTTTCTATCTCTCCTCCCTTCCTCTCTGAAATCAATAAAAATATTTTTTAAAATAAAATTACCTATTAAGATGCTTCTATTAGCCTCAAAGCTATGTGTGACAATCTCTTACAAAGGAGGACCCCCTGGCCAGTATGGCTCAGTGGTTAACTGGGCCCATGAACCAGGAGGTCTTGATTAGATTCCCAGTCAGGGAACATGCTTGCACATCCCCAGGAGGGGGCATGCAGAAGGCAGCCAATCAAAGATTCTCTCTCATCACTGACGTTTCTCTCTCCCTCCCTCTTTCTACAATAGAAAAATAGTGTGAAAAATAAAAGAATAATATTTCCAAAGGATTGGGTGGGAAGGGAAAATAACTGTCAACCTAGGATTTTATACCAGCTAAGATTGATTGTGTGTGTGTGTGTGTGTGTGTGAAGCATGCTCACTAAGAAAACTATTAAAGGATATACTTCAGGCCTGGTCTCATGGCTCAGTGGTTGAGCAGCAACTTATGAACCAGGAGGTCACAGTTCAATTCCCAGTCAGGCATATGCCCTGGTTGTGGGCTCCATCCCCAGTAGGGGACATGCAGGAGGCAGCCGATCAATGATTCTCTCTCATCATTGATGTTTCTATCTCTTTCTCTCCCTTCCTCTCTGAAATCAATAAGAAATATATATATTTTAAAAACAGATATACTTCAGGAACAATAAAAATGAACCAGAAAGAAAATATGAGGGGAAAAAATCCACACAACAAAAAAGATAAGGATCTTTTCCACGTGTGCAAAATAGGTTGCGAACAAGCAAACAAAACACAGGCAGCGTCGTTTCAGGGCCCTGAACCTTCATGTGCCTCCTAGATGCTGTGTATTTCACAACTGAAGGCAAGACGTCCCGCCAGCAATCAGCACTCGCTTTATTGAGATGCGCACTCCCTCTTTGCAGCGGTCTGAGTCACACCTCCCAGGTGTGTCTGTGGCGTCCAACTGCTCTGACGGAAGCAAGGTGATCTCCTGGAACCGGAGGGCCGGGCCCAGCAGCAGCACAGACAGGGTGGCCGGAGAACTGCGGGCAGCAGCCCGGGGCACCTCCCCGCGCCCTCGGCCCTCAGGTAACCCAGGGGCGAAGACTTCGCCAGAGCCCAAGGGGCAGAGCTGCGCCCGCTGAGAACCGGCGTGGCTCCGGGGCCTCGGGGCGGGGAGCGGGGGAGGAGGCCGTGGACACGTGTTACCTCGGGCCCCTCGCCGGCAGCCGGCGGCCTCGAAGACCCCGGGGCGCACTCGGTGCGGACGCCGCGGCTCGGAAACGTCATCCCCGCACAACGCGGCCGCCCACCCGCAGCTGCAGCCCCGGGCGAGCGCGGGTCCCAGCCGCCCGATCCCACGCCCGAGCGGCCGGAGCCCCCGCGTCGCACGGGCCCAGCTCCCCTCCCGTCCCGGTCGGCGTTTCCAGTGGCCGAGCTCCGGCCAGGCCCCGGAGGGAGCTGGCGACCTAGGACCGGTGCCCCGACCGCCCCGACCGCCCCGGCCCCCGCGGCCGCTCACCCCTCTCAAAATCCATCTCGTCCAGCGTCTGCCGCGCGCCGGGGCGGAGGCAGCAGGGGCCGCCCGCGCAGGGCCCCGGCGCCGCCATGCCGGCCTCGGCGCCGCCCGGCCACCTGGCCAGTCGGCGTCCACCGCCGCGCGGACCAATCAGGCGCCCGGGCTCTCACATGACAGCCAATCGGACGGCGGGGCGGGACCCGGGCTGCGCGCCTCGCCCTGGACGGCCGCACGGGGGCGCCCCAGGCCCGGCGGAGGGCGGCGCGGGCCGGGGCGGGGCGGACGCCGCCCCAGGTCCTCCCCGCCTCCCCCCGCACCGCCCGGGCCCAGGAGGGAGGCTCCCCAGCCACCTGAGGCCTCAGGCCGCTCGCTCCTCACGCCCTCCCGGTCCGTTTCCCGCGGGAGGCGGGAGCAGCTGTAACCCGCGGGCCGGAGGGCCTTGGTTGGGCGGACCCGCCCGCAGTGGCGCCCAGTTTAGGGCTCGGCCCTCAGGACCTCAGAACGTCGTCGCGGGTCCAGCGGGTCCCTCAGCCGGGCCCGCAGCGCCGCCGCCGGCAGCCCGGCCCCAGCAGCCCCGCCGGGCGGACGCCGCCTGAGGCCTGTGTGCGGCCCCGGAGCCGCAGCCCCTCTGCCCCCAGCGAGGCGGCCCCAGAGCTTCCAGGGAGCGGCCCTCTGCCCTCACCCCCTTCCCCTTCCCGCGTTCTGGGAAGTCAGTTCCGCCCCCGCCGGGACTCCCAGTTCCCCGACTTCCCCGCCGGCCAGCGCCAGGGCCGGCTCCGCGCCCACAGCCACCGCTGGGGACACTGGGCCGCTTCCTTCCCCTTCGAGGGCGCCGGCGGGGCCCAGGACCAGGGGGAAGTGGGTGGCCTGACTCTTCCACAGGGAGCCTTCCCTCCTGGCATTGAGGCCTTAGCCCAGATGTCTCAGTCCAGTCAGTTTCATTTTCTCCATTTTATTTGTCAATATAAAAATACTCAAATATTTACAACAAATAAATACGCGGGGACACAATAAGTTACACTGTTAGGAGCCCTCCTCCAGGCCTGGGAGAGGCTATGCCATATCCGCAGCATGCCCACCCTCTCCCCCCTCCTCTCCCAGCCCTGTGTGGGAGGACAAGTATAAAATACCACGAACCCAGGGCCAAGCCGGAGGCCCTCCCTCCCTTCCCCCAAACACACAGGAGGTCCACTCCCTCCCCGAACCCTGGAAACATTCACCACCCTAGAAGCAGGACTAGGCCCACCCGAGCCCTGCACTCCCCCAGGGGCACAGCACCCTGCCCAGCCCACCCCCATATGTACACCCCTGCCCCTCCTGGGGACAGTGGGGGCAAGAGAAGCAAAGTGACCCACCCCTCCCCCTTCATAGCTCCAATGACTCACCAGGAGGACCCCAGGCCAAGGGAAGACGCCACAGAAACAGAAGACGGTCACGCAAACACACCCACGTGCACACACACATACACCAACGCACCCATATCTCCAACTTCTGTCTGAAGGTTTGGCTGCCGGGGTCCCGCGTGCCTGTGATTCACAGCCCCTCACAGAGAGGAGGAAGACGCCGTGTGGGCGGCTGGTGCCTTGGTGAGCCACACCAAGTGGCAGTGCCCGTGCTGAGCAGAGCAGGTCCTCATGGGCGAGCGGGTGCCCACGCCATGTCCCTGAGGTAGCTGGTGCCTGTGCAAAAGTAGGAGCCAGGGCTCCCAGGCCGCCCCACGCCGCCGTGGGGTCCCTCATACCGAGGACTCCTCGGGATTGGAGTCCGGTAGGGGCTGGCGCTGATGGAGTTTGCGCCTCATTTCGTCCGCCAGCTCGGGCAAGGGGTGCCCCAGCCCCTCGCCGTGGTCCTCCCCGCCTAGCTGTAAGCGCACGTAGCCGTTGGCATTCGAGTTCCGCCCACCCCCCAGGTGGAGCCGAGTCGGGGACGGCAGGGGCTGGCCGGGGATGCCCGGGGGCGGGGAGGGGGGCCCCGTCCCGGGCTGGCACCGGGCGTGTCCGGGCACGATCTTGAGGGAGCCGTCCGAGTAGTAGTAGCCAACGGGGTCCCAGAGCTTCTCGTCAGTGTCGGGGCCGGGGCGGAAGGGGGGGCTGGCGGGCTCCTTGGGGAGCTCCAGAGGGTACACCAGGGTCCTCTCCGCCGCCTTGGTGCCTTTCTCCAGCTCCTCCCGCAGCCGGCGGCGCAGCGACAGCACCAGCAGCAGCAGCACCAGGCACACGGCGCCCAGGGCCACCACGGCCAGCCACACCAGCCCCAGGTTCTCCAGGGGCGCCCGCGCCTCCAGGGTCAGCGCGGAGCCGGCCACCACGGCCACCAGGTAGCCTTCGGCGGCCAGCCGCGCGCCCTGCTCCTCGGAAAAGCAGTGGTAGGCGCCGGCGTGGCGGGGCTGGGCCGCCATCACCACCAGGGCCTGGAGGCGGGCGTCGTAGAGGAAGGAGCCAGGCTGTTCCATAGGCAGGTCCCGGCCCCCGAAGGTCCACCGGGCGTGGGCCAGGTTGGAAGACAGGCGGCAGGGCAGCACCAGGTCGGTGCCCGCCACCACCGTGATGTTCTTGGGCGTGAGCCGGACTGCAGGGCGGAGAGGGGAGGGAGCAGTCAGCGCGGGAAAGCCAGGGCCGAGGGAGTGCGGACACTCCGCTCTGGCCCGGGCCCGTCCGGGGAGGGGGCAGAGGCAGCTCACCTTTCCTACTGCCGCGGAAGTTACACATGCCCGAGGTGTCCGAGATCCTCACTTGCTGGACCAGCAGGGATCTGGTTGGGGAAGAGGGTCCATCAGCATCCCTGCTCCCGCCACCTTCCCTCCCCTCCTGGCCAACGGGAGCAGAGCCCCGCTCACCCGGAGGGGCCGCCCGCAGCCACACAGCGGCTGGCGTTGACGTTCCAGGCGCAGTAGGGGTCCCGGGCGAGGATGCAGTCGGCACAGGAGCGGTACTTCGCGCAGTCGGCCACGGGCAGCTGAACCAACTGAGAGCGCGAGCCGGCAAACAGCAGCTTCTGCGAGAGAAGCGGGGGCATGGGAGAGGGCCCACGGGCCTGGGCACGGCTGGGACTGCTGGGAGCGGCACAGGGCAAAAGGGGCCAAAAGACGGGAGAACCAAGGACGGAAATCTAAGGACCACAGAATGCACGGGGTGCTTATTACAGCCGACGCCATCCTGAGCACCTTAAATGGCCTTCCTGGAGAGAACAGGAGCCCTGTGGTGCTGTGGATAGTCACACACACACACACACACACACACACACACACGCTCCAGTACAGTATAAATAGTGCAGGAAGTATGTTTTCCGGCAGCCCTCACAATGGCCCCACAATAGAATGGGGACATTGGACGCAGATCAGGACCCAGACCCGGCAGCCAGCCCTCTTTTAGCAGCCGAGCATACGGTGTTTTCCTGTTTGCATGGTGACTGCTAGTCTGTGTTTCTTCAACCAGACTTTCTTTCTGCCATCACTCCACGTTCTGGGAACAGTGTGAGCCACAACAGTGGTAGAAGAGGAGCGTGTGAACGTTTAGGTGGGACAACAGGCCAGACGGGGAAAGGTGCACCTCAGGGAAGGGGGATGTGGGGGTCAGGACTGGGGGGTACGCAGCCTGGCAGGGCCCTGGCCATGCACAAGGCCTCCGGAGTGCAGGGGCACCGGACTGACCCCGGAGCTTGGCCCCAGCCCAGCGAGGTGTGCGGAGTGCCCGCTCCGCCCGGAAAGGGCCACGCACAAGACCGGGGAAGGCGGAGGACGGGCTGGGGGCGGGCTGATGGCTACCTTGCTCCGGGACAGGACCAGGCTCTTCACCGGCTCCTGGTCAAACACCTGCAGCTCCTCGATCAGGTGGACCCAGGACCCCAGGCTCACAGCCTTAAGTAGCCAGCCGTCTCCTGTGAGGGGGGAGGACAGGTGTCAGTGAAAGCACAAGGGCCCCGGGGCATCCCCCCATCCGGGCACACAGGCCTTCGATGCCCACGTGCCTACCTGTGCCAATGAACAGCACTGTGTAGGAGGCTCCATCGAGCCCCGGGACCCGATCTGCCACCAGGTGGGTGAAGTTGGTGTCCTTCTTCACGAGCAGGGGCCGGCCCCTGAGGGGCTTCACCTGCTCCTCCAGCAGGGGGTGCTTCTTGATGAAGTTGAGGGTGTTGTCGGGCAGCTCCAGAGAGCTGGTGTAGCCGTGGTGGCGGTGCCAGTTGTTGATGCACTGGAGAGCGGGGTCGGGGAGAGCGGTCAGTCAACGGGAATGGCACCGGGGCTGAGGGCAGCGGGCCCCCTCCGGGGCCACTCACCGAGCCCGGCCGTGGGGTGGGGACGGGGTCGGTGTAGCGGCCCCACTTCTGGGATTGCTCGTGGTACTCCTTGTAGGGACCCTCGAACACCCTCTGAATGTCCTCCAACTGGTACTCGCACACAGCGGACAGGTCCACGTCGCCCCTGTCAGAGGGAGGGGCCCACGGTCAGGCGTGGTGCCCTCTGTACCCGGTTCAGGCCGCGTACGGAGAGGGCAGGGCCCGGCACGGAGCGGTCACCACACGCACAGTGTAATGGCCACTCTGAAGTGCCAGGGGGCAGCGAGCCGGCCCATGTTCCCCTGGGAGCGGGTGACCAACACCGTCCTCGGCTTCCGGAGGCCGGGCCAGCGGACTCACCCACAGGCCCACACCATAAACCACCCCGACCTGCAGGCCTGCTCCTCCCCACCCGGGACCCCCGGCCTGCTCACCATCGCGCCCGGAAAACCGCGAAGAAGGTGGTGTTGCGCCAGGAGGCGCCCCGCAGGGTGTGCAGCGCCTGCAGGTGGCTGAGGTAGAGGTGGCGGCCGGGGGCCGAGCACACCAGGTGCGCCTTCAGGAAGGTGGTCCACTTCTTCTGCAGGGTCCGCGCGCCGCCCACGTCCCCCTGGCGGAGGACACGCAGGGGTTGGCAGGCGGCCCCGCGGCCGGCAGGGCGCCCGCCGCCCCGCCGCGCCCCGTACCTTGCAGACGCGGGCCACGCGCGCCACCACCTGCTCCGTGTAGCAGTTGTACTCCAGCGCCCGCTCGCTGAAGAAGAAGTACACCTTGTCGTCGTCCCCGGTCACGCTCCCCTCGCTCTCCGGGACGTAGGCGGAGCCCACAAAGTGAGGTTCTGCGGGGAGGGGGAGACTCAGCGAGGCCCAGGGAGGCCTTCCCCCCAGCCCACCCCACCCCTGCGCCCCCGCCAGCTCCGAGGGGCTCACCGTTGAGCCAGAAGGCCAGGTACTCTGTCTTCATGGGGTGGTGGGGCCCCATGTTGCGCAGGATGATGGGCTCTGTGCCCAGGAAGTTGTTGAGCGTGGCCGAGTACAGCTCGCCATCTGTGGGGACAGAGGCTCAGCCGGGCCGGGCGGTGGACGTGCCTGGGATGGGAATGAGCCCCGGGGACACCCGGCCTGCCGCAGGCGGCCACTCACCCACAAGGAGGCCGGTGTGGCCCTTGGCGGGGTCATAGGGGCACTTCCCCTTCCCGTCCTCAAAGGCTCCGCGCTCCAAGGTGAAGGTGCCCGTGTCCTGGCAGAGAGAGAGAGAGAGAGTGAGGCCAGCAGCCCGGCCCCAGAGCAGCACCCGGGCGGGGAGGGCGCGCACTCACGATGTAGGCGCACTTGGGCTGGAAGGCGTAGGTGCCGCACACGTACAGGTGGGACGCGTTGTACGGCTGTAGGAAGCGGATGAAGTTGAAACACTCCGTCTGGGAGGAAAGTGGATCCAGTCAGAGGAGGGGGCGGAGAATGGGGGTGCAGTCAGAAGAGGGGGGGCCGAGAATGGGGGTGCAGTCAGAAGAGGGGGGCCGAGAATGGGGGTGCAGTCAGAAGAGGAGGCGGAGAATGGGGGTGCAGTCAGAAGAGGGGGGCCGAGAATGGGGGTGCAGTCAGAGGAGGGGGGCCGAGAATGGGGGTGCAGTCAGAAGAGGAGGACCGAGAATGGGGGTGCTGTCAGAAGAGGAGGCGGAGAATGGGGGTGCAGTCAGAAGAGGAGGCGGAGAATGGGGGTGCAGTCAGAAGAGGGGGGCCAAGAATGGGGGTGCAGTCAGAAGAGGGGGGCCGAGAATTGGGGTGCAGTCAGAAGAGGAGGACTGAGAATGGGGGTGCTGTCAGAAGAGGAGGCGGAGAATGGGGGTGCAGTCAGAGGAGGAGGGCTGAGAATGGGGGTGCAGTCAGAGGAGGAGGCCGAGAATGGGGGTGCAGTCAGAAGAGGGGGACTGAGAATGGGGGTGCAGTCAGAGGAGGGGGGCCGAGAATGGGGGTGCAGTCAGAGGAGGGGGGCCGAGAATGGGGGTGCAGTCAGAAGAGGGGGGCCGAGAATGGGGGTGCAGTCAGAGGAGGGGGGCCGAGAATGGGGGTGCAGTCAGAAGAGGGGGGGCCGAGAATGGGGGTGCAGTCAGAAGAGGGGGGCCGAGAATGGGGGTGCAGTCAGAAGAGGGGGGGCCGAGAATGGGGGTGCAGTCAGAAGAGGAGGCGGAGAATGGGGGTGCAGTCAGAAGAGGGGGCGGAGAATGGGGGTGCAGTCAGAAGAGGGGGGCCGAGAATGGGGGTGCAGTCGGAAGAGGAGGTGGAGAATGGGGGTGCAGTCAGAAGAGGGGGGCCGAGAATGGGGATGCAGTCAGAAGAGGGGGGCCGAGAATTGGAGTGCAGTCAGAAGAGGGGGGCCGAGAATTGGGGTGCAGTCAGAAGAGGAGGACTGAGAATGGGGGTGCTGTCAGAAGAGGAGGCGGAGAATGGGGGTGCAGTCAGAGGAGGAGGGCTGAGAATGGGGGTGCAGTCGGAAGAGGGGGGCCGAGAATGGGGGTGCAGTCAGAAGAGGGGGCGGAGAATGGGGGTGCAGTCAGAAGAGGAGGCGGAGAATGGGGGTGCAGTCAGAAGAGGGGGGCTGAGAATGGGGGTGCAGTCAGAAGAGGGGGGCCGAGAACGGGGGTGCAGTCGGAAGAGGAGGCGGAGAACGGGGACACTGGAGGGAGACCAGGAATGAAAAGGGAGCCCCGGGCAGAGGGTGAGCCATGAGGCCTGGCCGGGGGAGGCAGAGGCGCCCACCTGGTTGTTCTTCCCTTTCTGGACACACTCGGTCTTCTTCTCCGCAGGAGCTGCCCACGAGATCTGGGGACAGGGACGGGCACATTAGCAACGTCGCGGGTGGACTGAGCACGTGCCCGAGCGGCCTGTGGCAGCCACAGGAAGACCAGGGACAGGACAGGGTGCCCACAGCCCGGGCACTGGCTTCGGTGGAGGACATGGCCCCACGCGGCCCACGGAGCAGACCCGGCGAGTCTGCGGGCGGCCGGGCAGCTCGCACTCTGCCGGAGGTGCCGCAGACCCAGCCGGTCCCCCAGGCCGCCTGGCCAAGAGGGCCCCTGGGTCCTGCCTGCCGCGGCCCGTGCCACGCTCCCCCTCCGCTCACCACTCCTTGCAGCTCCAGAGCCTCCACGCTGAAGGCACACAGGGCCTCCCGGGCCCCCACGTACAGCAGCCCGGTCTGCTCGGTCAGGGTCAGCGTCAGGAAGTCCTGAATGCCCGTCTGGGAGAAGCGCCGCACCACCGGGGCCAGCTCTGCGGGCCGGGATGGGAGAGCGGGGCTGTGGGTGGGCGGCCTCCTTAGGGCTCCAGGCAGCCCCCCGCCCCGCCCCCATCAGCCTTCCTCTACACCAGAATTTTCAACCAGTGTGCCACAAGAATTTTTAAAACATGCAGTACCTGCCCCAGCTAGTTTGGCTCAGTGGGTAGGGCTCAAGCCTGCAGACTAAAGGATCCCGGGTTGGGTCAAGGGCACTTGCTTTGGTTGCAGGCTCCTCCCCAGCTGGGCCCTGGTCGGAGCTTGGTGAGGGCACGTGCAGGAGGCAACCAATCAATGTGTTTCTCTCACATCGATGTTTCTCTCTGTCCTTCCCTCTCCCTAAAAACCAGTGGAAAAATATCCTCAGGTGAGGGCTAACAACAAAAACCATGCCTGACTATTTTAGTCAAGGGCACTGACCACATTTCCCTTAGATTGTCCAATAAAAAAATGACAACAGGCAATATAACAATAGCCATTCCGTATGAATGAACCAAAATTATCTTTTTTTTTTTTTTTTTTTTTTGTCAGACTAGCCAAAAATACAACATCTTTTTTGGTGTGCCACAGAACTTTAGTAATTAATTTATGTGTGTCATGAGATGAAAAAGGTTGAAAAATCGCTGCTCTATGCAATGGTCTCCTGGGCCCCCTTGTCCTTGTTCCCCACATGAGGGCTGGCAGCCCCACAGCAACGCAGCCCAGTGCCCTGATGGCAATAAAGGGCATTTCCTGAACTGCCGCCTGGCGGACAGCGACTGCGGGCCTTGCTTTCCCAGGAAAAGCCTGGGAGGAGCGCATCTGAGCTGCGAGGAGGAAGGAAGGATATCTCGGCCACAGCTTCCGGCCAGAGGAAGCCATCAGAATTATGGCTCCCACTCGGGTCAGCAGCGCCTCTGGCTGCAGAGCTGGGCAGGCTCCTTCCCGGCTTCCACAGGCCTCCTCCTTCCCTGCTCTGCTGCCCACTGCCCACATCAGAGCCCAGCCGGACCCCGCCCTGACCCCCTAGGGCAGGGCATACAGAAGTTGTGAGCGCTCCTTGTCTTAGAAACCTCCCGCTCCTCTCTAACAAATACCGGCTGCCTGACGCCAGCACAGCTGGCCGCTGGGACAGGCGGGGACGGAGGGGGAACCGGAGGCTGGGACAGAGCTGGAGCCGAAGCCTGGGGCTGGGAGCCTTGCTGCCATTCAACAGGCAAGGGCACTACGACATCCATAGTCACAGGACCCCTATGTCGGCTTCCAAAATAGCTGCCGACCTGTCCTCAGGCCCCCCTAAACCAGCTCAGTCTTTGGAGCCAGAGCTGGGTCCAAACACAGCCAGGTGAGGAAGGCTTCGTTAGCACTGAGAGCAGCCTGTGGGAGGTGAGCTCATCCCAGGTCCCCAGAGTGCAGGGATGGCACAAACACCTGACATCACCTCTGGGTCCGTGTGTGCGCCCACAGTAAGGCTGGCAGGCCGCTGTCCTCCACAGGAGCACGTGCACACACGCACACACACACCCACTGAGGGCCACAGGTCGCAGGCTGTGGTTTCAAGCTCATGCGGGTTCAGGATATCTACCTGGCTACACACTCAGGGAGAGACAATTGCAGAAGTGAGGATGGGGAGAGGGATGCAGAATGGGCACTGCCGGACCTAAGCATCGGAGGCAGGGGACAGCCCTGGTCCTGAGCCGGACGATCAGTCCCAAGTCCCTAGGGTCAAAACTGGGTCACCTGCATGGTGGGCCTTGGCAGCAGAGAAAAGCTGGTACAGTCAAGGGGGCAACCCGTCAGCGTCTCTTCCCTCAGCAGCCCCTCCGGGCCCCTCTCCACCTGGTCTGACTCCTCTGCTTTCAGACACTCACCCCCAGAAGATACCGTCTTCCGGGGCACCAGGTTCCACCACATCTCAGCCCCGAAGCCCAGGCCCCACAGCCCCACAGCCAGCAGCCAGCCAGCCCAGTGTGGGGCCATGGCACGCGCCTGGCTCAGAGCTCCAGGCCAGCCGCCCTGCTGGGGGAAAGAAAGGGTCAGCATCGCAGCGGCGCACACGGCGAGGGCGCTGCCAGCAGACAGATCAGGCCTCCCCGGGCCCCCTGCCCGGTCCAAGGAGCTGAGACCTAGTTCCCTCTCAAACCTGAGCCCTCCCTCCCCCCCCGAAGGACCAGGGAGTCTCCCTGAAGGGGTGGGGCCGCGGGGGAGGGGGAGGCCCTCCCCCATCCCTCTGCTCCACAGGAAGTTGTTTAAGAAAATAAAAAGGGACCCCTCCCCCACCCCAGGCCTAACAGATTCCAGGATTTTTTAAGGAAACCTCTGGAAGCTACACTTGGCCCTGCTGGGGCTTCCGCCATCCCAGGCCTGTTCTGGACGGGACCCCTGGGCGGTGCGGGGCCTGAGGGGGCGGCGGGGACAGGCGCCGCGGGCCGGGGTCCTGCCCGCCCCCCGCCCCCCGCGCAGACAAAGGCGGGCGGCCCGGACCCGCTCCCCCGGGGGCCGCCGCGGCCGGGCCGGGGGCGCGCTGCCGGCCCTTTGTGCCCGGAGGGGCAGGAAGCGAGGGGGGCGGAGGGACCAGCGCCGCCCCCGCTCCGCCAGCGGCCTCGGCGGACGGCGGCCCCGGGCCGGGCGGGGGACGGAGCCGGCCGGGGCCCAGGCGGCGCCCGGGGGGGCGGGAGGCCAGGCCCGGGCTGGGGGCGCGGGGGGCTCCCCAGAAGCCGCGGTGCCGCCAGGGTCTGAGGAGCCTCCCCACCCGGGGATCGCGCCCCGCGCCCGGCCAGGCCAACCGGGCTCATTCCGCCGCCGCAGGCCTCCAAGGCCGGGCACAGAGACCAGCAGCCGGGGCGTGTTACCCCCAAAACAAAGGGTCCCCGCCAGGACCTGCGCCTGTCCCCTCCCCCGCGCCCCCAGCTCGGGGATTTGAATGCAAACAAAGCAGCCGCGCCAGGAGCGTGCGGGCGGCCGGCCCAGGGCGCCCCCTGTCGGCCAGGACCCCGCGCGGGAAGGGCGGGGGAGGGACCGCTCACCCTCCGGGTCCCAAACCCCCGGCCGCCCTCCGCCCCTTACCCCGGCCTGGCGGGCTCCGCGGCGCGCAGGGTGCCCCACACGGAGACCGGGGCGGCCTGGAGCGGGTGCGGGGCGCGGGGTCCCGGGGGCCCTCACCCGTGCCCACCACGAACAGCAGCCGATGGGCGAGCGGTCCGGCCGCGGACAGGCCGGCTGAGCTCGGAGCTAGCTCTCCAGGACACCCCGCCTCCCGGCGGAACGGGCGGGGGGCCACGGCGGGGAAATCCGATCCCACAACATTGGCCTCGGCCCAAGCCCGCCCCAAACTTTCCATAGGGGGTGGGGGAGCCGGGGCAGCTCGGGGGCCTGGAGAGGATCCCGGCCGCGGACCCGCCTGCACAAGGGACCCTGCTCCGAGCCGCGCTCCGGCCAGTCCGCGCCCAGGACCCCGGCTGCAGGCGCTGCCGGCCCCGCTCCACGCCCTGCCGGGGGCGCAGGGAGGATCTGAGCGGACAACTGCCCCTCCGCCCTTCCCTGCGCCCCCGATCCCGTCCTGCGCCCCCGATCCCGCCCTCGCGCGTGCGGCGGCCCCTGCCCGGGAAGGGACAAAGCGGCGCCCGCGCCCCGCGCCGCCGGCCTCGCTCACCGTCTCCTCGCGGCTGTCGCCCCGGTGCCGCCCGCACGCTCGGCTCCGACCCGCCGCCCGCCCGCGCCCTCCGCGGCCCGCGCCGCCCTCCGTCCCGCTCGGCTCGGCGCCCTGGGCTCGGGCTCCGCGCGCCACCGCGGCGGCCGCCGGCTCTTTCTCCGCCGCCGCCACCCCGCCCCTCCCTGACGTCAGGCGGGGCTCGAGGGCGGGCCCGGAGGCCGCCGGGAGGGGCTGCGGCCCGGCCTCTCCGCGCCCGGTCCGGCCCCGCGTCCCCCAGCCCCGCCGGCCGCGCGGGACCCGCGGGCGCTCCGCGGCGCCGGGCATTGTCCGCGGAAGCGCTCACCGGCCTCTCCGGAGTGTGTGCCGGGCCCACCGCGGGCCGCGCGGCCGGGCTCGGGAGGGGCCTCGGGGCGGGAGGGCGCAGGGAGCCCGGCCCTCCTCCGGGCCGACCGCCGGCTCTGCAGCCAGACTGCACGGGGCTCCATGGCCAGGAAGACCCCTGTTCGCAGACACTGCGCTGGCTTCTCGCTCCACGGGCACGGGGACCCGCTCAGCGCCCCTTGCCCAGCTCCCTCTAGCCGGGGGCACAGGCTGCCCCAGGAAAGGATTCCCTCGGTGCCGCCGGGAGGCTAACCATTGACAGGAGCCTGATGTTCAGATGAAAGGGGCCGAGGGTGGCCACGCTGCAATCTGCCACCTTCAGATCTGCCACCTTCAGAACCGCCAGTCTCCGCCCACGGCCGCTCCTAGAAGTAACTGGTAGCTCCTGGGTGATGTTGCCAGCTGGTCCTCCGAACTGGGAAGGTGGACAGAGGCCAGCACCCAGCGAAATGCCACCTGCTGGCCAGGAGCAGAGGGCAGAGGCGAAGAGGCCCAGAGGCTAAGGTGGTGGCTTTACGCTGGCTGCAGGCCTACAGGGGAGGAATGCTTTCGGGCCCCATCAGCAGATCTGGATTATAAATCAGTCCAGACAGAAGCTTTTGTTCTGGGTTAAAACTTGGCGTCTGAAGAGCAGAGACCAGCAGAGCAGAGGAGATAACTGGGGAGGCAGTAACAACTGGGTCTTTGCTGGGACTCAGTTGTTACTGCCTCCCCAGTTTGGACTCAGTAACAACTGGGTCTTTGCTGGGCACATAAAGGCCCCTTCTCCCGCTCTGGCCGTGGCCACATTTCCCAGCTCCTTTCCACCAGAGAAAAGCTGTGTGGCTTTGGAGATGCCTGAGACAGGGGGCAAGCCAGCTAGCTATTAGGACAGGGTGGGCAGCAGGCTCGAGGAAGTGGGTGACTTGGTACCCATTTAAGAGGTGACCTGTGTGCAGCTCCCTCACCTCTGTTCTGTGCTGTAGACTTTGCAACCTGCCTCCACCACATTTTCTTTCGTCCCACCCTCAGAACCACTTTGTAAAGTGGGCATTGTTTGTCCCACTTGGTAGATACAATGAGTCTGAGAGACCTGCTGGAAGTCACACGGATGGATATCAAGGTCAGAATGTTACCTTGGGCCCTGGGACTCCAAACCCATCTTTCCACTAAGTCACATTGGATCCGGGCAACTTTTAGCCCCCAACTGCTCCGTTTCCTGCTACTCTGCCTCCCCCTCCAGCCCCTCCCCCACTGCCACCTACTAGGTGTGAGGGTTACCAGACAGAGACTTGAGCTCCTCCTGCAAGATAGCCCCAGTGGAAAGTTTCAAAGGTGGTTTGGTTTCACTGGCAGGGACAGTCTTCCGTACCCCACACCCCGCGGCAGGCTTCCCCGCTCCAATAACAGCCTGCAGGGAGCCCCTCCTCCCAAAAGCTCCTCCCAAAGCCAGGCTGCAGCCCCACACCCGCCCCACCTGCGCCCATTTCCTCCGTGTTCTGTTCATGCCCAGCTCTGGCCTTTTCCGGGGCGGGTGACAGGGAATAAAGTTTCCTGCATGACCATTTGCTCATGATTCATACTTTAAAAAAATGTTTTCATTCATTTTTTTAAGAGGAAGGGAGAGGGACAGACAGAAAGACTGATGAGAGACCTCACGGATCCGTTGCCTCCTGGATGCCCCTCACAAGGGATCGAGCCCACAACGCGGGCATGTGCACTGACCAGGAATCAAACTGGTGGCCTCTTGAGTCCTGGGTCGATACTCCACTGCTGAGCTATACCAGCGGGCAAGAGTCATACTTTTTAATATAAGCACAACTGGTCTAAAATGAGGATTCCTGGGTCTTAAATTAAGATAAAAAACAATGTGTATCTACTGACCTCCCTGGGGCCTGTCTGGCATTCCCCGTGGAAGTGCTCACTTCAGCCTCAGTGACACTCCTACTTGTCCCACTAACTCAACTGCCGAGGCCAAGTCAGGGAGAGGCGGGCGCTAAGTGCCTTCTGAGTTTGCTTAGAGGCCCTGGCAGCGGAGGCTGGCCCCACAGCGGACCCAGGAGTCCCTCCTGAAAAGCAGGCTCCATTCCCCCCACACTGCTCTGAGGCAGCTGGCAGGAGGAGCCGTGCTTCCCTCTGGGGTTCACTGGTCAACATGTCTGGCTACCCCCAGAGAGCCGAGCTGCTGTGACCCCAAGGGGAAATGAGAAAGCCTGGGTCAGCCACCCTCCAGGACCTTCCTGAGGGCCTGAGGACTGAGGTCAGTGGGGACATAGGAAAAGGACTTCCTCTCTGCTTCCTCCTGAAGGGGAGTTATCAAAGCCACCCACCTGCGAAGCCTTTCCCTTCCCAGCCCCTCCCTGCCACCGTCACCCAGAGGAAGCAGGAAAACATCCTTCACCACAGCCCCGGACACCCCTCCCTTTCCCCAGGGCGCCATCTGGAAAGGGCAGGGGTGCTGGGACCAGCACCTGTCAATTCTTGGCCTAGAGCAGGCCGAGGCTCTAACTGGCCCCAGACTGGTTTTAGATCAGGTCTGCTCCAGGCCAGTTCCAGAGCGGGCCCATTACATGTCCCAGGGGATGGTGCATGCCCTTGGGTGACCTCAAACTGCACACCTCTGCTCAGGTTACAGCTAGGCCTCCAGAGGGACCTAGTCGCCACCAACACCTCCTTTCCTTGGTGTCCATTTCTCTCCGGGGGACAAGTGAGTGGGGCGGTGTGAGACCAGAGCCGGGAGCGGAGGGACAGTGCCACCCTTCCTAAGAGCCACAGAGAGAGAGATCTGGAAACTCCCCAGGTCTCCCTACTCCCTCTCTGCCCTTGGCAGTGAAACAAAGAAGGGAAATTACAAAGGTGATTTCCAGGTTTCCAGAGTGAACTGAATGGCTGCAGATTAACTGCTGGGACGCAGTGTTAGAAGCGGGCAGCCCTGCGGGAGGGTGCAGGAGCCGGCCCTTTTTTGGGGTACCGCAGCCTGCCTGGGGCCTCAGAAGTGCCCTGGCCCAGGGGGCCCGCGAGGCAGCCAGGAACAGAAACCAGAACTCTCGGTCCGGTCACCTGGGCAGCCAAGTCCCCTGGCAGAGGGTTTCTTCCACCTCTCACTTGGCAGCGCGTGGAGGCCGGGAGGCGTCCTGCACGGTACCAGCCTCTGAATTATAGATGCCCTGGCTCCCAGCTTCTGGCTCCCAGGAGGGAGGCCCAGGAAGTGAAGGGGTGCTGCGGGTATGCCAATTGAGCTACTTGCCCTGAAAGTCCTTTATTTTGGGGAGCCTCTCTCCTAGTGAGCCCCCTTCCCTTGACCTCTGTGGCTTGAAAGGACAAAGGAGAGGGACAAAGTCTAGGAACCCACCGTGGTGATGCTCCACTGGCGGACACGGCTGAGCTGAGGAGTGAGCATAGGCAGCAGCCACAGGCACACCCTGCCTGGTTACTCCCCTTCCATTTCTGCGGCCCCTGCAAACCCCATCCCAACCCCGAAAGAGGCAGGAGGGGCCAGAGACTAGAAGTGGATGCTCAGGGTTGGAGGAAGGATGGAGGGAGGAAATGGACACCCAGGGTCTCCTGGGAAGGCCCCTGGGATGCTAGGGTATGGAAAACCCACTCTTTCCTCAAGGGGAGCAGGGCTGAGACATCCAGCATCCTGTTAGGGAGCAGCACCCACAAAACTTGCCTTGGGCAGCAAGGCCTGAGCCCAGTCACATGGCTGTCCGAGGTGAGTGTTCAGCAAACCGGATGCTGGCATGAGACCTCAGGATAGGGGCTGCAGGAAACCGTCCGAACCACTGATGTGAAATTGGCTTTAGTGTGCACAAAGCAACCTCACATTCGTGAGAGAGGAAGGAGGGCGGGAGGAGAGGACACGCTGGGCAGGGAAGGAGAGCAGGAGGAGGAGGGGGTGGGCAGTGAGGGGCAGGGAGTCAGGGCGGTGGTGGAGGCAGGCTCTTGCTTCATCAGATGGTCCTCCTCGGGCCCCCATCCTTTGCTGCCTCCAATTCCAGGGTCCTGTTCACTCCCCGGCAGAGCGCAGCCCTGGCCACCCTGCCCGGCTCCTTCAGATGTCGCCCGGGGGACTGATGTGCGGGGCCTGTGCAGGGTGAGAAAGATGTGGTTGCCCGGCCTGGTGCTCCCTGACTCCCCAGTGCTCATTCACCATCCAGGACAGCCTCCCGTGCCAGCCGCCGAGTGATGGGGCTCCTGGGGCTCGGCCCAGGCAGGGCTCAGGGCAGCAGCCTCAGGCACACCCTGCCTGGTCCCTCCTCCCCCCCCCCCCCGCCCCGCCCGCCCCTGCCTGCAGCCCCGGGCAGTGTGAGCGGTGGGCCTGCCTCCCGGCTTGGCCAGGCCACAGATCACTTTTCTTTCTTTTCATGACAAACAGTTTCCCACCAAAAGACCAGTGTGATCCAGTTCCTTGGGGACCAGGGTGAGGTTAGCACTCCAGCTTTCTCAGGGACTTGCGAAATCTGAGACCTAAGCCTCAGCCTGTGGCGACATGTCAGTCCCGTGTCAGAGGTTACAGGGGAAGGACACGCAGAGAGAAGGCAGAGGAGAGGCTGGGGCCTGAAGGGAAGTGCCCCTGAGCCAGCAGGCGCGGCTCCTTGAGGGCTGGAGGCCGGAGGGAGGATGCCAGGGCAGGGCCGCAGGCGTGGGTGCCAGGCTGGCCCGGAGCCTCAGTTCTGACATTTATACGCTGCCTGCCTGTGCGACGGGCAAGCTAGTTAACCTCTCAGTGACCGTGGTTACGCTCTCTGTAAAATGGGGGCACAGTAATGCCGCCTCGTGGGCTGTGTGCGCTCACGTAGAGCATTAGCTGGGAGCAGCATCGCCTCAGTGTGAGCAAGAGGCGTGGAGGCTGATGCTCCAGAGGGCAGAGGGACGGCCGGCAGCCGGGAGAGCAGACCAGCTTCAGCCTGCAGGGCGCGCAGGCCGAGGGGGACAGCTGGCGCCTCTGGTGCCCGGGTCTCCCCTCTCTGGGCAAAGCTCCTCTGCATTTGCTCAGTGGAGGCTTCTCTACCCCACGCCGCACACCCACACTGGTATCTCACTCTTGATAAGAATGCTGAAGGCCTCCAGGCCCTCCCCTCCCCCTCTCGGTCCTCTCCAGCCTTTTCCAGCCCGAAGCTCAGCAGCTGCAGTGGGGGTGGACATGGTGGGGGGGCCGTGCTCTGGCTCTGGTCAGCTGCCTGACCACTTCCCTCCCCTCCCAGTCCGGAGGCGAGAGGGGCAGCACCTGGGGCAGGCAGTGGGCCAGCAGCTCCTGCCAGCGGAAGTAGGTCT